GCTGTCAGTAGGATCCCATTCAACAGGAGACTCTGGCCCGGTCGCGGCTGGTAGGTGTTTTTCATCTAAATAATCTAAACTGCAGGCAGCAGGATAATAAAAGCGAACATATTCTGCCGGCAGATTTCTGCATTTTAAGTTAATTTAGGCATCAATAAACTGTTTCAGAGGAGCGATCACAGCGCTCTGTATCATCAACGATGTGTCTGTTCTCTCTGTCAGCTCCCAGATCAGCTTCTCTGATTGGTTGACGCGGCGCGTCAAGCAGCAAAAGTTCATTTTTTTCCATCTCGAGCAGCAGCGCGTTTGCTTAAACGCGACCGATGCGCTGCTTCAGCTGCTCAAAACGCGCGGCGGGACCTTTTGCTGCACCTTGACGCGCGTCAACCATTGACTTTGCATGTAAACTCGCTGCTTCTGCTGCATCCTGTGTGAACATAGCATTACAGCCATACATGTTTGAGCCCTTGCCTCGCAACGCTGCCAATTCTGTTAGCTCTACGCCTGCCGAAGACACAGACGTCCATCCCCGAGGACCACAGTAAAACACTCAAAAGCATCGAAAATCAACTTTCACAGGACTTTTTCGGACTGCTCAGTAAATGCAAATATTTTCAAGACTGGATAATTTGATGAATCTGAGTGCATAAACATTATTTTTTTCACTGTAAATAATTAAGAGGGAAAGTATTTTTGTTGAAATGGGTTTGTAAGGCTTTTTTGTGTTTTTTCTGTAAACGAATGACAATGTTTGATTATCCTTTTTGCTCACTGTATATAGTTGCACCTATTACTTTAAATTGAATTTTTCTAATAAAAAAGATTTAAAAAAACAACACTGGGACGCACCTCAATGGGAAAGGAAAGGATTCTGATTTCTTATTTCAACCGTTGCCTATATTAGCTGCGACATATGAATCAAGATGCTATGACTGAAAATATTTGATTGATGACAGTTGATATATGATTGGCTGAATTTAGGTGTACAAGCTAAAAACGATTTTTTTAAATAGAAATTGTCCTCATTTTGGGACAATAGCAAAGATCAGCCTGAAGTCCAAAGAGGCAGAATCAGGAGGACAATTAAGCGTGAAAAAGTTTCCTACTGCTGCATCCTCCTCCCATCTGGCATTTCAAGCCGACTCGAGGGAAATCATGCAATATTTACAGGACAGCAACCTGATTTCCTCACTCAGACAGACTCATCCACATGCTATTAATAACCAGGAGTCAGTGGGAGGGGAGGCTGCCAGAGGGACAAGAGGCTGCAGAGGAAAGCATCTGAGGGAGGCAGCGTGAAGGTCCAAGAATCTACCTACCCTCGATCACCTCCTTGAAAAGCGGATATAAATATTTATGCATGTGTTTGAAACAACATTTGTGCCAACATTAAAAGCAGCAAAGTTTAGAGGATTTGAATCCTTCCTTAAGGCCGTCTCTCCCCAGAGCTCTGATTAGCTCGCACTCTTTCATTAGCATAATCCCACTTCGTCTATTTTTGTGCCGTTTCATGGTTTAGTGCAGAAGCCAATACTGAGGAGACAAACATACCAGATCCCAACAAAGTACGCTTTTATCACACAATACAACAATAAATCATATTAGCTTCTGTTTCAAAGGTGTCAAACTCCGAATTACCCAGATTCCCGTTACAGATCATTTCATCGTTCCTCTGAACGGGGTGACATTTCTAATCATATTCTGCCTTGTTAGGAAATGAACTCTTCATATTGCCACAGCGCTGAGTCACAGATCACTGCTCTCCTCGTGCGTAACACAGCTCCCCATTCATAGATGATTTTAGACGCCGAGTTTATTAGAAGATTCGCTTGTGTGGATTTAAGTTAACTTTATTATGTCAGAATAAATCTTTATGACCGTCAGTGTGCTTTCTGGAAGGACTGATTGGGTGATTGGTCTGATTTCACTGTTAAATGTTCAAACCTGAAGCATGAATCTGAAGTTTTATCACTTGGATGTTTCTTAATACTCTACATTTTTGCAGTTATTGATGCAGCTGCTGCCTGGACTCCTGATGCCCTGCAGAACTCCTCTGACTGCACCTGTGTTTGCTGACGCAGACTGACCTACCAGAACCCAAGTGCATCAGTATGGAGCACTTGGATGATACGACTGGAATCTCTTTTCAATTTTTTCCAGCAAAGCGTTGCGCCATTATGGCCGGAGGGAACTGGGTCATGGTTAATGGCCGCTGACAGGGTGGAGAAAGGAGCGATTCATTTTAGCCGCTGGCAGCAGATTCCATAATTAAGATGATTAAGCAGGAGGGAGGGAGACAAAAAGGAGAGAAGTGCAACTACAGTTTAGAGGTGGACCAAACGTTGGCACACTCTTCCCACCAGGTTGTTTACTCCCTCGGAGTTTGTGTGAAGACACAGCAGTAAGGACACTCTGTCCTCAGAGCTATACTGCCAGCCGCATTAGTAGGATCGGCTGGCAGTGGCTCTGCAGCAGGTGCTGGTGGGAGGAGAGACCCAACAGTAGATGGGTGCCCTCTTGTTGGACAGCCATCGCCATGTTAATTAGCTTCATCTCTCCTGTTGGAGAAAGTGAACAGAACCAAGATTAAGAAAACAGCCTTTTGTAGCCTGTTGGGCAAACATCTCCAGCAACGCCGGAAAAGATCTACAGTAGATCAAAATCTTCTTTTAGAAAGGTTCGAACGTTCTCTAGGAATAAATGGCGCAGAACTGGGATGGTTTAAATCTTATCTGACAGATTTTATTTTGTTCACATTCATAATGAATCTTCTTCAAGCTCCAGTGCTAGGACTAAATTCCTATTGTTATGCTGATGATACTCAGCTATATCTGTCTATAAATCCAGATGAATCTAACCTGTAACTTAGACTACAGGCATGATTAGCCAGTCACTTAAAGGAATAGTACACCCAAAACATGATTAGCCTTCATTTTCTACTCACCCCCATGCT